ACCAAAGTCCCTATATATCATTCGATTTGCACGAAATTTGGCATACAGTACTGAATTAGGTCCAGAATGATTTGTGCTAAGTTTCGTGAAAATCGGTCCAGATTTAGATATAGCTCCCATATATTTTCGTCCGATTTAAGGTAAATGGGGCACCAAAGTCTCTATATATGTCTTTCGATTTGCACGAAATTTGGCATAAAGTACTGAATTAGGTCAAGAATGACGTGTGCCAAGTTTCGAGAAAATCGGGTCAGATTTATATATATCTCCCATATATATTTTCGACCGATTTAAAGTAAATGGGTCTCCAAAGTCCCTATATATCTTTCGATTTGCACGAAATTTAGATATAGCTCCAATATATATTTTCGTCCGATTTCACGGACCTTTACTGAAAATTGTCTATCATCTGAAAAAAATGAAATAGGGAAACTCGACCAGGACCTTCAAAATAACGATAATGAGATAGGACTTTCTATGGAGGATATGTCAACACATAGACCTATGTTGAGTTTTTTTCAGCAAGAATTCGGAGGACAATTTACAAACACTTCGGATGAAAAATGCTGTTGAACTCTTTAAGAACCTGATATATTATCGTGATATGGTGGATATGAAGAATTTTCCCATCAAATTTCAGTAAATGCTTCAAAAATGAGGCAAGAAAATTTCTTGCAAACCTGTATTAACCCACTAAGGACCCGTAATGTAGGCACTTCGGTTGTAAAATGCTCAAAACAACCTTCACAATGTGTATGGGACTGTATCGGTATATGGGGGATATGACAGCACATAGGCGAAGATCATCGATATGTTTTCAGTAGTAGCAATGTATTTGGATATTTTTAAACTTCTACCTAAAATACTGTGATCTTTATGACAATTTCGCAGACATGGTTAAAAAGACATAAAATTTAAATCTGATTCAGAATATGTATTTTATAGGGTCTCCAATTTCTAGGTATTGCATACAGAAATTAAAATTATTGAAAAAAAAACTGCCAAACTCGATAATTCCAATTTCATATTCTGTACATTTCGAATACGTTTTGCTTCTTCATAACTCAAACTTATTCCATAAACATGTCCTGCAACACCTACTTTCGTTCAAGTTGTATGCTTACAAAAATATGTTGACATAATTCTTTACAGTCTAAATGGAATTTGCTAACAAGAATTTGTACAATGGCAGTGCTGCTGCTAACTCAATTAACCAGTTAACACTTTGAACACTTGAAAAAAAACTGAAAAAACAACGAAGAGGATAAAAAGAACTAGAAGTACGAAATACAACAAATAACCCTAACCGCAAACCACAAATATTTGCAAAACTTAAAAAAAAACACTTCATCAATGAATCTGCGGGTTTTTTAGAGGTTACCAGAAGAAGAAAAATATTTCATAGTCAAGAACAAGGACAAGTTGAGGTGCCTACCAAAATAACTAAGCCATCGCGATAAAAAACGCAATGTACAAAGGCAAGCGCAGTAGCCCCACATAAACAATGGGGCTTGAAGTGCAACGAAAGACCGACTCACACACACACTCTCACACTCCGATAGATATAAAAGGTAGAGCCTCAATAAGAACATTGATGGCAAACAATGCCAGTTACAGCCAATCGACTTCCATATCGTTTAAACTTGTCCAACAATTTAATGTAGCTCTGTTGCTCCGTTGGTTGGTTGGTTGCATCTCTCGGCCTAACCAAAAAAATGTTTGATATCCGGTGAACTGAGGGGAAGCGAATGAAGGAGATCTTTGCTCTTCACCGTATTCAGTGTTTGTAAAACGTGCTAGACAGGCTTTCAACTATTTCGGTTTAGAAGATCTACGACAAAGCATCATCATTGACAGAGTTAAATTGGCAGCTGAAGCAGCAGCCAAAAGCAACGTGGGCCTCCTCGGCTACAAAATGTAGCCGACAGTAGTAGTTATGGCAGTGGCAACTTTATCTTTGTTATGTTTTGAGATTTTAAAGCTTCCTCAAAAAACAACTTCTACTCAATGCACTATCAGCATTGAGTGTCTTGTATTATAGCTTCCAACAATTGGTAACATGCAGGTTAGATTTAGTAAGCGGAGACTGCAGTGGACGCATCCATAAGTTCTACTCATCATTATTTTCTTACATTTATTTCGTAATATGTAGGACAAATTTTATTAGGTGAAACTCGTGTGCGCTCTACCATAGGTCCCTCTAATCCCTATTTTCTTGATTCGTTTTGAATTTATTTTCACTAATTCGTTCAACAATCCAATATTCTGCAATGGTTTATTTTGAAGATTTTTAGGTCGGAACCCTCTCGTTGAAATGTCTGTTATAGACCGCAAAATTATTCGTACCAAAATCGGATTCAGGCAATGTGGAGAGGATTTAAAAATGCCCGTCCGTCTGGCGACAGTCGTAGGGAGTATTCGATTTCATCCAAACATTGCAAATGTTAATATTTGTTAACACTTATATTAGTCCTTTTGGAACTTCATCCACAAAAGGGTAACCTTCTAGGGAAAATTATTTTTGTAATATTATGCGAACGAGGTTACGATTTGAACCACGCTTTGGAAAACCAAATATGTTAACCTAATATTTAAAATTCAGGGGGTTTAGCAATGAATGGCAAATTTTCGAAGTTCCATCATAAATAATGTAGGCATTAGGTAGGGTATTCCGAAATTCGTGTTCATCTTACAAAAACGTTTAATGCGTGGAATTGTTGTGGTTTGTGTGTGTCAGTGCTTAAAATACCTGCAAGATTTCAATGAAGGTCAGTTAAAGGAACCGAATATGGCAATAGGAAAACCGTTATCAAAACAATTGTAATAGTCTCTAGAGGAAGTTTAGATATAATACAAGAAAGAAAAAAACAGAGGCGTATACCTTGGTGGGAAAATTATGCTGAATTTTCCAACTTCCGAAAATGGGCGAAATTTTATTTTAGCATATGGTGGAATATAAACCTATATTGTAAATTTTCTGGGTCATTATTCTTATATATGAACTATGTCAAAAGAATACTTTTCAGGGTCCACCAGAGGCGTGTATTTAATCAAGGATATTTTTAGGGTCCACCAGAGGCGTGGATTTAATCAAGGATATTTTTTTAGGGTCCACCAGAGGCGTGGATTTATTCATGAATATTTTTTCCAAGGTCCACAAAATATTATTTATTCAATAATATTTTTCAGGGTCCACCAGAGGCGTGGATTTCTTCAAGAGTATTTTTCAGGGTCTACCAGAGGCGTGAATTTATTCAAGAATATTTTTTCAGAGTCCATCAGAGACGTGGATTTATTCAAAAATATTTTTCAGGGTCTATCAGAGTCGTGGATTTATTAAAGAATATTTTTCAAGGGCCAACTGAGGCTTGGATTTATTAAAGAAAACATTTTCCAAGGTCCACCAAAAGCGTGGATTTATTCAAGAATATTTTTTCAATGTCCACCAGAGGCGTGGATTTCTTCAGGAATATTTTTCAGGGTCTACCAGAAGCGTAAATTTATTAAAGATTATTTTTCCAAGGTCCACCAAAAGCGTGGATTTATTCAAGAATATTTTTCCAATGTCCACCAGAGGCGTGGATTTATTCAAGAATATTTTTTCAAGGTCCATCAGAAGCGTGGATTTTTCAAAGATTATTTTTTCAAGGTCCACCAGAGGCGTGGATTTATTAAAGAAAAAAAATTTTCAGGGTTCACCAGAGGCGTGGATTTATTATAGAAAAAATTTTCCAAGGTCCACCTGAGTCTTGAATTTATTCAAGAATATTTCTCAGGGTCTACCAGAGGCGTGAATTTATTCAAGAATATATTTTCAGGGTCTATTAGAAAAGTGCATTTATAAAAGAATATTTGTTAAGGGTCCACCAATGCCGTGGATTTATTAAAGAATATTTTTCAAGGGCCAACTGAGGCGTGGATTTATAAAAGAATATTTTTCAGGGCCAACTGAGGCGTGGATTTATTAAAGAATATTTTTCAGGGTGGATTTATGAAAGAATATTTTTTCACGCCACAAATGGCGTGGACGCTTCAAAATATATTTTAAGGGTCCTCTATTGGTGTGGATTTATTAAAAAAAATACTTATTCAGGGTCTATCAGATGCGCGGATTTATAAAAGAATATTTTTTCAGGGTCCACCAATGGCATGGCTTTAAAACATAATACTTTTTTAGGGTCCATCGGAGGCGCGGATTTATAAAAGAATATATTTTTAGGGTCCATAAGAAGCGCGGATTTATGATTTGTCACAACCCTCCCTAGACACCAATTTTTTTATCATTAAAGTAATTTTGCAAAACAAGGATTTATAAAAGAATATATTTTTAGGGTCGATAACCCTCCTAGATACCAATTTTTTTAAAATAATTTTGCAATGCAAGAAAAAGATGATAATCGCTGGAATGTTAAGTCCGAACTGGCGAGTCACTGTAGATGTGTGTGGCGTTGACCTGGTGGAATACGACACCTCTCCTGTTGGTCAATTCTGGCCGTTTCTGGTCAATTGAAAAACAAAAAAATCAAAATACGCATTGTCAATGTGGAAAATTTTCAACTTTATATTTTTATACACAATGCGTATTTTGGGTAACATTCATTGAAATACGTGTATTTAACTTTTGAGTTGAATAAAATGGTACGCATGAATTTAGGTACGACCCTCATACAATTACTTGTAATATTTAAAAATCACAAGTCATAGAAAATAATTTCTAATTTTTTTCAAAAAATACATTTTTTTAATATTTGATCGACCTTGAATAAGTTTTGTCGGCAGCTGCAAGTTATAATAAATAGTAAATTTTCGTGTAAAATTTGTACAATATGTGTTTATAACAAACTCTCATTGTTTTAGTGTTAATAACATGTGTAAATAAAATCAACGACTAAATATTCGTGTAATAACCGATCTGATCAAGACTTTATCCAGCCGCCCCTAACATTTGCCAAACAATTTTTGGATAATGTATTTTTCTAAACAAACAAATTCTCTTATAGAGTACGGAAAAATTGTATATAAAAGTTGTGGAACTGGAACCAAAGATAACAACACTAGGTGCTAATCTCGATGAATCCATAAGACTACAGAATGATCACGATGAGACTCTTCGAAATGTACAGGTAACTAAATCATGTTCAGTTTAATATGCGAACCTCTTATTATAATTCTTTGTAATTTCTTTGCTTTAGAACTTACCCGGACCCATGGACGAATTTGTTCACAAAGCCGACAAATTGCTCGCCAGCAAACGTATTAGTGCCGATCTAGTCAATGCCATGGCCGATACTTTGAACATCATTTGGGCTGATATTTTACATTTGATGCAAGATCGTCAAAATATTCTGCATTTATGTACACAATTCCAGGATAAAATGGTTCAGTGTCAGAGACGTATGGACTCACTGGAGGTTGCCTGTATTGACACAATGATTCCAATTGAAGTGACAGCCGTGCAGGAGTTCCTAAGTAAATTCAAACAGTTGCGTATCGATATGTTAACGGCCGTGATGGCTGCCCTTAAGGATGGCAACGAATTGTTGGCCCAATTACAGGAATTGGAAAATTTAGAAACACTGGATACACGACCGGAACACATTAAGCGTGATGCTGCTCGAGCGGTTCATCAAGTGCAGCTGTGGCTTGAGGCATTGCACGATCGTCGTAACACATTGGAAATTGCATGGCAGACGAGGAAAACACAGCTTGAACAATGTTTGGCATTGGCTATGTTGGGTCGTGAACTTATCGAAGTGGAAGCCGCGTTGCAACGTCAAAAGGATGAAATCTCCACGCTCTTTAGTTTAGGTGAATGTGAACATACGGCCAATTTGGCTCTGCAGAATTACAAGGAATGGAAACAACAGGCTATGCAGTTGCGGGATCGTGCTCTCAAAATTACACGAGCCAAAGAGAAATTGCAATCGTCTGGCACCTTTACAGGAGACGAGGCTTGTGCTAGGGCCTACAATGTCCTAAGTGCATGTTCAGAGCATTACGATATGGTAGATCAGCGAGAACATTGGCTGCATCAATCCAGGGACTTCTTCTCAAAGGCTGACAACACTTTGAAGGTATTGGAAAAACTTGAAGTGGAATTGTCGAATGTTAAACTGCCACCTAATACCCCCGAAAGTTATGCCATGTATGCCAAGGTGGCCAAAGATGTGGCTAAATTCACAGAAGAGCCGCTGCGTTTAGGATACAGTATTTTGGATGATGTTGGTCGTACAGCACCAGAAACTAAAGGCATTAAACGGGTTTTGGATGAAATAGAAAATCGCAAAGCCTATATTGAGGGTATTTGTGCCAATAGTAATGAGGAACAGCAAAGGGTTACCCGGGCCCTTAACGAATTCCTTGCTCAATACAATGATCTTCTACAGTGGCTAATGTCCTCGGGTCAACAGTATCTACAACAAAATATCCATATGGGTAAAACATTGGAACAAACTAAACAGTTTCTGCTGCAGCATCATGAACTTATGCAGGATTTGGAGGTAGGATAAACAAATTTTAAAAATTAACAACAATTAAAAACAAAATATTCAATTCCCTAGATCAAAGGTGAACTTATTAACCTGTTGTTGGAATCAATAAAAACTCATTTGGAATCTTTGAGTGCCCAGCAACGTTACGATGTCGATTCCAAGGCGGAATCATTGCACAAACATTGGATAGAATTGAAAGATTTGGTACTGAAACGTGTCGATTGTGTTTCGGTCCTTATCGAATTCTTCGAAAAATCCAATGAATTTGGTAGTCAACTGGACAATTTGAAACGCCAACTGGCCATGACACCCAACGAACAGAAATTACAATTCCTCCAGGAAACATGGAAGAATATGCAATCCGATTTCAGTGATTTAAAGAACATGGGTTCAAGATTCCTTAATTTAAAGGTATGTAATTGTACGATTAGATAGATTAAGTGCTATAAATTGCAAACAAAATTGGAATTCTCAGTATTTATTAAGGCATGATTAACGCTTCTTTTCAAGATTTCAGAAAATTTGCTTATTATATTTTTTTAATATTATGTTAATTTGAAATTCGTCCATTATATTTTTATTTATATAACACTTTTATTGGAAATAATCGATACTTACAAAACATTTTCAAAAGCGAAGAAACCTAGATTTGTTTTACAAAAATTCCTCGTTATAAGGAGGTAGTTTGATATACGAAAAGTTTGGTACAATTTTTAATTGGAGGTACAAATGGATCTGAAATCCTGAAATTTAAAATTAAAATTACCGCCGGAGTGTAGGATTGGAATATGTTCGTTGTTTTGGAAATTCTTTTACTTGAGTGTACTAAATTGTACTATAATTGGTACAATTTTGATTTGGTTAAACCGAGAGAGCTGGGATTCTGATATTTGAAGTTAGGATCATTGCTGGGGTGTAGAATAGGGGTATGAAGGAACATTTGAAAATTCGTACTAATGTGTACTAAATTGTACCAAATTTGGATTTTGGGCAAACCGATAGAGCTGGAATCTTTACATTTGGAGTTATGATCACTATTGGGGGTAGAATTCAGCTATTTAGAAAGTTTTGGAAATTCATACTAATGTGAACTAAATTTTGTACAATTTATATTTCGGGTGAACCGATGTATGGTATTTTGGAAATTTGTACTAAATGGTAACAAATTTGGTTTTGGTTGAACCGATAGAGCTGGAATCTTGAAATTTGATGTAAGGATCACTGTTGGGCTGTAGGACTGGGCTTTGTAGAAAATTTTTGAAATTCGTATTTATGTGTACTAAATTTGGCACAATTTAAATTTTGTGTGAACCAAAACTTCCAAAATATTTGAATATGTATGAAAGTTTTGGAAATTCGTACTAACGTGTACTAAATGGTACCAAATTTGGAGTTGGGTGAACAGATAGAGCTGGAATCTTGAAATTTGAAGTTATAATGACGGTAGGAGTTTAGGATTGGGCTATGTATGAAAGTTTTGGAATTTCGTACTAATGTGTACTAAGTGGTACCAAATTTGGATATGGGTGAACCGATAGAACTGGAATCTTGACAAGTGGAGTTAGGATCACTGTTAAGGAGTTTGATTTGAGTATGCATTGAAAAGATTGGAAAATGACATAAACTTGTACAATTTGGATTTAGATTTAATCGACCCCCTGAAATTGTTATGCCATGTATTGCATGATGTTAGTAATGGAAAAATTGTGTGTTTATGTACTAAATGGTACTAAATTTTATACAAATTGTAATTTGTTGAACCGATAGAATCCTGACAGCCTTATCTAAAATTCAACTAGCTCGTTCGACGTTTTTTACCACAAAAGTAGAATACAAGTATTTATATGAAATGTTACCTAATGTGTATTAAAGTGAACAATTTCAACTTTGACAGAACGTATTTTTAATTTTTTTTCTTTTGGATTAATTTAATAAATTTTCAATTTTATTTTGCGGTTTGTATATTTGCTTGAAGATATGGATTTGAAGTTGAAGGGAAGTTGAATATTTTTGTACGCTCCGTCGGATTTTAGTTGTGAAATTTGGAATTAAGATTGGGGTATGTGAAAATTTTTTGAAATTCCTACTAATGATTGTTAAAGTAGGTATTTATGGAAATTTAACTGGTACTAAATTTAGATTTGGGTGAGCATATATTTGAAATTTGGATTTTTTTTTCGAAAAGGGTAATTAATGATACCAAATTTATTATAGTGTTGCTATAATAGTTTCTCACTGTTTTTAAAATTTTAATAATGGTCGGTATTGGTTTTTGAATACTTCCCACATTCGCTAACGAAGTAGCGGGCATATGCTAGTTAATGTTATAAAAAGTAATAATAAAATCTCTCTAAGATTTGCTCCTTATAGTACCTCCCCCCCACAAAGAATAAAAATGATGAATGTTTGTAAATATGAAGTTAATTAAATTTCAGAATTGGCGCAAAATTATTGGCTCCCTTGGACCAGTCTTTCTGTTATTACGGTGTGAACATATATGTCATACAAAGCAAATTGAGACAGGACATAGTATTATTTTTACCGAACCATTATTAGGCCCGAATGTAATACTCCTTCTGGTACCTCTACCACATATAATGTGTATGTTGAAACCTATATGAACCTAATATGGTATAACTTAAGATTTATAAGAAACCTATGTGTTATATACAGCATACAAACTAAAGATATTTGAAGATACCCTTTGATGGACCCCTATAAAGTGGACTAAAATTCACAATTTTTGGTAGGATGTGAATAAAAATATCAAATGTGAAACAAATACCAACTGTGAAAAAGCCTACAGACATTTAAATACAGTATACGTTCCGATGATACCGACAGGTACCCTGAGAATCCAGTAATGCCTAATTTTCTCCATTATACGAACATTTTGACCGAAAATATTACAATGTGCACTAAATGTGAATTTTATTACTCGACATTTTATATTTCCATAGATCAAACTGAGGTAGTAGGAAATTGAGGAATATCAGAAATTACCATAGAATTCAAATTTTAGACTTTTAACTTTCTCAGCATGCAAATTTCGAAATAATACAACCTCGATTCAGTTGCAGTGTCTATTTTAGTACAAAAGGAGCGATGACGTAATTTCAATATTACTTATGCCATAAAGGGTATACTCACTGGAAAAAATAATGTTTATTATTGATAATTCATGGAAAAAATACCACACAAGATGTAATGAAAGCACACATTCACACTGCTGTTTAAATACGCGGAAATATTTAAATTTTGCAACAATGAATAAAAAGTACATACAATAAACTAAAGGGATATTCTCCATAGGGGTGATGAATATTTATACGTTAGGGGTATAAAAGTAAAGAACCCGTACATTAGGTTCGGTCAGAATACTTTTTTATATATGTGTATATTTTACACCTACTCTGGACACTTTTAACTGATAAATTAATTCTCAACAATTCTGGGATTCTGAAGATGCGAATTGGGATGATATTTTCAATCTCACACATATATTACTAAAATCGATTGACTAAACTACATTTTGACAATTTTTGGAATGAGATCTGATAACCATTATGGTTCGTTTACATTGAATCGGTTAAATCGGTCTATGACATATTGAAAATATATTACCAAAACATTATCGAAAATCAATTTATCTTGTAAAACAAGAATCTGTCAAAACATGGAATTTTGTAAAACGGATAAAAAAGCGAATTACCAGTGATTGTTAAATAATTTGTCACAAGAAATGTGTAGAAATATTCAATAAAAAATCCGCGATTTCTCAAATTGTAAGTTGATTTTATGCAACTATATCATTAGTGACTGTTCGTCACTGAGGGAACAAGAAATTGTTATTACAGTAAAAAAATACAAATTTAAAGCTCAGCTGAATTGGTGAGTGTGTTACCGTTGGATAAAACCTCAAGAACATAATCTGTGCGAACTATGGCAACAGGTCATACCCGGAAATTATCAAGAAAGCCCTTTTATTTCTGGAAGAAAGTACCGTGAGAAAGTCAAAAAATGGGTAACATGCAGGCGAATTCATGGCTTAGTCTTCTCTTGCTGTCAACATTTTAATCGCGAAGTACCAACCAGAACAGGATAAAAAATTAAAATCTCTTTCAGGGAGTATTGATAGTAATGTGCACATATATTTCGGTTCGAATAAAATATATTTTATTTATTTATTCTTCAAACTATAAATTTGACAATCAATGAAGACTTCAAATTCGCCTCCCTGTGAACCTTATGAATAAACAATGGCTCAAGCCTTTAGTATTGGAAGTAATTTGGCATGTTGGGTCCCTGACGAATAATTAATTTATGGGCATACAATTTTAATGTTTTGCGATATTTTGAAGTTTTTAGTCGCATGTTATAATCGATGAGGAAGAAATTTGGCATTCGGGTTCATGGAGCGTGGAAAATATCATTGCAGAAAATGATCTATGTAAGTTTATGTTTTAACATAGTCCTTTCCCACTTCCAAACTGAGGTGTCTGGAATTTGACATTCTTGGTAAATAATGCATTTCTTCGAAGATAACACTGACATTCATACCAAATTCGAATATTATTATAACTAGCAAATGCCCGCTACTTCGTTAGTGAATGTGGGCATTATTTAAAAACCAATACCGACCATTATAATGTATGTTCTCTTATAGTACGTATTTCCAAAAGTACATCCATATCTCAACTCTACACACCAATTCTGACCGCAACATTAATCTATCCCTAGCCCTTTGTACTCTTGTAATACTTATTTCGAAAAAAATCCAATTTTCAAATGTTCACATCAATATAAATTTTCATAACTATCTACTCTAACAATCATAAGTATGTTGTTCCAATACACTACAATATTAATTCCAAATCTCAGGATTCCAACTTTATCGGTTCATCTAAATCCAAATTATATAAAATTTAGTACCATTTAGTACACATACGTTCATGCAATCCAATGGGAATTATTACCCAATATCAGGATTCTCCAAATCCAAATTGTACCAAATTGCCACATTAGTAGACATTTCCATTACTTCCAACATTCCTGTAGTGATCCTAACTTTAAATGTCAAGATTACAGCCTATCGGTTCACCCAAATCAAAATTTGTTACCATTTTGTACACATTAGTACAAATGTTCAAAACGTTATACATAGCCCAAACCTACACCCCAACAGTGATCTTAACTGCAAATTTCAGGATTCCAACGCTTTTGATTCACCCAAAATTTAAACTGTAGAAATTTTAGTGCACGAATTTCCAAAACTTTATACTAAGCTCAATTTCAAGATTCCAGTTCTATCGATTCACATAAATTCACATTTGGTACCATTTAGTAAATGGTAAAATATTTCAAAACTTTCTACATCGATTCACTCAAAAATTAAATTGCACCAAATATAG